TGATTTGCTAAAACTAACTGCCTTTTTCTTTTTCAGATTAATGGTCTGGCTTGCCAAGGCCAATATGTCACTTCAGGAAAGAGCAGCACAGCAGCCACTCAGTCAGTTTTTACTGCCAGTTACGTCTACTAGTCTATAAATGATGGCAGCCAGCTTGCCTCTTCCCCCAGCTGGGTGAGGGTGCCCCAAAGGAAAACGTTTGCTGTGTCCCAGTACAATGTGGCAAATGACAGGATGGGAGTAATAAGCATGATTGTGCACTGGCTGCCCTTCAGCACAATGAAAAAGTAACTTCAGAGCACCTACACATTCCCCAAAATTGGACAGGTTTTATGGATCCATTCTTCACTGCCTTTCATTCCTCTCTAGCTGTATTTGAAAATAGCTTCCATAGCTGGATAATGTTAATATGTGTGAGGTTAACAGCAGCAGCAACCATACAAAATTGAAATTGTTAGCTGACCATGAGGAACAGCAAGAGAGAAACATAAAAGTGCCTTTTTCTGAATGTTATGTTTTTAATCTGTTAACTATGAATAAAGTTTTTGCCACAGTGGAACAGGTTCATGGCTGTTCATTTCTTGTTTCACATTCCTTTCACTGGGGAGTTCTTAGAAAGAAGCCAGCACACACAAGCTATGTCTTACAGATGAAAATAGGGACAGTAGTTGTCCACTTTCTCTTGTGACAAGCCCAATGGATGAACCTGCTGAAAGATACTTCTTTGCACCAGCAACAGTACCATCTTATTTCACATACGGCACCACAACATGGCATTACAACACATCCCTTATGCAGTTGTATCTCCTGTCACAGTATTTTGGGGGATGAATATCGCAACCATTTGAAAACAAGGGAAGTAAGGCTGCTTCTTGAGCAAGCGTGGTCAATGGTTGCCTCCTCCCCCCATCTTCCCTCATTATTGGATACACTGGCTAGGGCTGAGGAAATTGCAGTCTGGCAAACTCGAGGTGTGTATGTGTGTGCAACAGCCCACCTCAATTTTAGTTGGAAGGGCTCTAGTTCTACAAATCAAAATGCACTGGGCATCCATACTGTCCTTCCCTCTTTTAATGGCTTTTCTGATACTGGCATGAAGAGAAGAAAAGAATGTGTCTGAAGCCTGCAGGATAAAAAAAAAACTCAGTTTGGAAGCTCACATTGTACTCTTCATCTGAAGGGGCATTTGCAGAAAGTACAGATACACTGGTGAGCCCTTGGCCTCTCAATCTGTTACATACTCCCCCCCTTTTTTTTTCTCTCCAGATTCCTCAGGTCATTTGATAGATGCACCAGCTGAGGGTAAAGTCAGTTGTATTTTTTAATTGTCCTGTGGGTTGTAGACCTGATCAACCTCTCTTCAGAGGAACTGACAGTCCCCTTGTTGCAAGTTTGCCTAGCTTTTCCAACCTATCCAGAAAGGCTGAGAAGCCCCTCCTTCACAAGAGGGTCCATCACTGCACTTTAAGAAGGGTACTAACAAAATGAAATAAGTTCAGAGGAGGGCAACAAGGATGATCAGGGGACTGGAAACTAAGCCCTATGAGGAAAGACTGAAAGAACCAAGCATATTTAGTCTTGAGAAAAGAGCACTGAAGGAGATATAACATTCTTCAAATACTTGAAAAGTAGTCAAAGTGAGGGGCAGGATCTGTTCTCAATCATCTCAGAGTGCAGGACACGTGATAATGGGCTCAAGCTACAAGAAGCTAGTTTTAGGCTGAATATCAGGAAAAGCTTCTTAACTGTTAGAGCAGTATGTCAATGGAACCAATTATCTTGGAGGTGGTGAGTGCTCCAACACTGGAGGCATTCAAGAGAAAGTTGGACAACCATCTGTCAGATCTGCTTTGATTTGGACTCCAGCCTTGAGCAAGGGGTTTTACTTGATGGCATTTTAGGTCTATTTCAATTCCATCTACCATCGACAGACAACCACTAGTACTGCAGATTTCAGATGTGAGACACGCTTTCCAGAATATTAATATTCGAAAGGCAGCTGGACCAGATGGAATCATGGGACGAGTTGTTAGGGGCTGTGCTGCAGAATTAGCTGGAGTTTTTACGGATATTTTCAATCTATCCTTGTTGCAGTGTTCTGTCCCCACTTGCCTGAAGACATCTATTATAGTGCCAGTCCCGAAGCAGTCAGCTGTGGTATCTCCCAATGATTATAGACCAGTAGCTTTAACATCTGTTATTATGAAATGTTTTGAGAGATTGGTGCTGGATTACATTTTTTCTGAATGTTATGTTTTTAATCTGTTAACTATGAATAAAGTTTTTGCCACAGTGGAACAGGTTCATGGCTGTTCATTTCTTGTTTCACATTCCTTTCACTGGGGAGTTCTTAGAAAGAAGCCAGCACACACAAGCTATGTCTTACAGATGAAAATAGGGACAGTAGTTGTCCACTTTCTCTTGTGACAAGCCCAATGGATGAACCTGCTGAAAGATACTTCTTTGCACCAGCAACAGTACCATCTTATTTCACATACGGCACCACAACATGGCATTACAACACATCCCTTATGCAGTTGTATCTCCTGTCACAGTATTTTGGGGGATGAATATCGCAACCATTTGAAAACAAGGGAAGTAAGGCTGCTTCTTGAGCAAGCGTGGTCAATGGTTGCCTCCTCCCCCCATCTTCCCTCATTATTGGATACACTGGCTAGGGCTGAGGAAATTGCAGTCTGGCAAACTCGAGGTGTGTATGTGTGTGCAACAGCCCACCTCAATTTTAGTTGGAAGGGCTCTAGTTCTACAAATCAAAATGCACTGGGCATCCATACTGTCCTTCCCTCTTTTAATGGCTTTTCTGATACTGGCATGAAGAGAAGAAAAGAATGTGTCTGAAGCCTGCAGGATAAAAAAAAAACTCAGTTTGGAAGCTCACATTGTACTCTTCATCTGAAGGGGCATTTGCAGAAAGTACAGATACACTGGTGAGCCCTTGGCCTCTCAATCTGTTACATACTCCCCCCCCCCTTTTTTTCTCTCTCCAGATTCCTCAGGTCATTTGATGGATGCACCAGCTGAGGGTAAAGTCAGTTGTGGTATTTTTTAATTGTCCTGTGGGTTGTAGACCTGATCAACCTCTCTTCAGAGGAACTGACAGTCCCCTTGTCGCAAGTTTGCCTAGCTTTTCCAACCTATCCAGAAAGGCTGAGAAGCCCCTCCTTCACAAGAGGGTCCATCACTGCACTTTAAGAAGGGTACTAACAAAATGAAATAAGTTCAGAGGAGGGCAACAAGGATGATCAGGGGACTGGAAACTAAGCCCTATGAGGATGAAGAAAGTGGAACATGTTAGCCTATGAAAAGAAGACTTTGAGAGTTATGACAGCACTTTTCAAATACTTGAAAGACTATCATACAGAGGAGGGAAAGGATCTGTTCTCAATCATCTCAGAATGCAGGACACGTGATAATGGGCTCAAGCTACAAGAAGCTAGTTTTAGGCTGAATATCAGGAAAAGCTTCTTAACTGTTAGAGCAGTATGTCAATGGAACCAATTATCTTGGAGGTGGTGAGTGCTCCAACACTGGAGGCATTCAAGAGAAAGTTGGACAACCATCTGTCAGATCTGCTTTGATTTGGACTCCAGCCTTGAGCAAAGGGTTTTACTTGATGGCATTTTAGGTCTATTTCAATTCCATTATTCTATGATTCTGTTTCCTGATTAATCTCTGCTTAATGTATGCAAGGGAGGAGCCAACCTGGACTAATGATGTCCGTGAACTCTCACCCTTGGTGATGTGGGTTTCAGTCCAGCTACATCCAAAAGCCCACAAGTTGTAGACCCCCGTACCAGGCAAAGAGCTATCACTATGAGCTTTGTCCTCTTCTTTCTTATTAATGGGAGAGAATGTGGAGGGGCGTTAAAGAAGAAGAAACATAGAAGGGGGTTACCATTCAAATTTATTGACATTTATGCGCCTGGCAAAGTGCCAGCAGAACAAAAGGAAGCACCCTAAGAACAAAAGTCTTCCAATTCCTTGCATTTTCATCCTAGCCCTTCAGGTCAGCTTACAGGGGATTTAGCTGTTTGGATCTAAGGGCAGTTGTTAGGTGGAAAGATGATCATTCATGCAAGGCTATCTGATGACTTCTGTGGCCCAGTGGGATAGCCAAGTGAGATCCCTCTGATCCACTGCTCAACTCTGTGACCCCATTCAGATTTACATAAGCCGATCTGCACCAATATAGACAGACAGGTCAGCTTAATACTGAATGTCTGCCTAGCACAACTATCCCAAGGAGATTGTGGATGGGTCTATTCTAAAGGCTGAAATCTGGTCTGTGCCTCTCTGACTGAACCAGAAAACGCTATAACCTGAAAAAGAAGAGCAACTGGTCTTGTTATACAGTCATAATTTAGAGATGAAATGTATACACTAATGCAAATGTGCACAACTGATGAGCTTCACACCAGTTAGAAAGGGCAGACATGCATTTAATTGTGTATTATGGAGGGAAATGCCTATCAATTTGGTATCCAAGCTACATGACAAAACGTTGTACCACTATAAGAATAGATTCAAAGGACTGCTTGACAGCAGTGTAGATATGGGCTTTGCTCTGCTTTCCTCCCCCTGCTTTGCCTTAATGTGATTGGTCAGTTGAGTCTGCCCCTGAATCCTACATACCTGCTCTCAGCAGTTAGGTTTTTTTAACCCTATAAAATGGGCTTTCCACTTTCCACAGGCATATTTCTCATTCACAGACAAATACTAAGTCATTAAATGAATATGAGAAGCTACTCTCTCTATATATACGCCTCACCAAGCTATTGCAATGTCCAAACTCCTGCAGGGCTCGAAGGTTGTCATTTGATATTTTACCATTCCAATAAAGGTGTTGTCCACCCTTATTTTTGGATACATTGCCTAAGATCAGTTGAGAGAACATAAGAATGCATCTTTCTGTTTCCAACATACAGTATGTTGATCTGGTCAACTCAAGACTGTTTGGCTTGCTGAAAGGGATGATATATACATTCTGTGGTGAGTGGCCTTGAGTTCTTTTCACTGTAACCTGAATCTGGCTAAACCTGGGAATGGAGGAAAGCAGCAGTCTGGTATATGGTTCTGAGTGGGTTCAGGTTTCAGTTTCCTCATTCCTTCCT